CTAATGCAGACATATTCAGTAACGTTAGAAGTCACATCCCAGATATGAATGTCAGTGATAGGAGTGATCCAGTTCGAAGGAAGCCACAAGAATTCGATGGGAAGGCACCGTGGGAAGCATATAGAGCACAATTTGAGCTACTGACAGAGATGAATGGATGGACAGAGGAGCAGAAAGCAGTATATCTGGCAACGTGCTTGAAGGGACAACCACTGGAAATACTTGGACAGTTGACAGCAGCCGACAGACACAATTATAGAACACTGGTAGAGGCTCTAGAACTCAGGTATGGAACCCAAAACCAGTCAGAAGTCTACAGAGCCAGGTTCAGGACGAGAGTCCGTGCTAAAGGGGAGAGCCTGCAAGAGCTGGCACAGGACTTGGAGAGCATGACACACAAGGCCTACCCAACTGCACCACCCGATCTCCTCACGTTGTTGCTGAGGCATCAGTTCGTAGATGCCTCTGACAGTCCACAACTTAAGATACAAGTGAAGCAAGCACACCCCTCTACCATGCAGGATGCAATGGCCAGAGCTCTCGAATTTGAATCCTACGTTAAGTCCAGCACAGAGGTACCAAGGTTGGTACAGTCATCTGGATTCAAGGCCAGAAAAGGTCAGCTTTCAGAGAAGTTTGAGGGACTTTGCTGGCACTGTAACAAACCTGGGCACAAGAGAGCTCAATGCTGGAAGCTTCAACACAGGGGAGGTGCCACAGTAGAAAAGGCGGGTATCCAGAAAGGTTGTTGGAACTGTGGAAAACATGGACATTTGAGGAGCCAGTGTAGGAAGAATATTACCAACAAGTCGGCCTCAAGGAGATCAGTAGTGGTTGGTGTTGAGCGACGCCCACCAACCCCCATCATGAAACTCCCAACAGCTAGGTGTAGAATGCCAAACACACACAGTGTCTATGTGACAGGAAAGCTAGATTTCCAAAGGTGCAACTTTGTCAAAGACTCTGCGTCTCAGCAAACCCTTGTGAGCATCAAGGTGTTAAATCACGAAGGAGTAGCAGAAGCCATAGAGAAGCTTTATGGTGTGACAGGACATTCTACAAGATTATGGGGGCCATTGTGGGTGACTATTGAGCTCATGGGCATAAAGGACAG